GGACACGTGTGTTGGGTTTTTTCTTGACTATTTATATATACGGCCAGTGGTGCATTGTGACGGTTAGTCCATTCTGACAGTTATTTTAGCGGGAGTGGTTTATTTATTTGGGTTAATTTATTTTACTTCTTTTTTATTTATTTTTATTTTATATATTTATTTATTCTCTTCAGTTTTCGATGTTTTAGTATTGTAGTAAAATATTTTTTAGATTACATTCTTTATTTAATAATTTGTTTTGGTCTGGGAATGTAATTAAAGCTATTTTTCATCCAATATTTGGATTGATTGCTGTAGTCTATTCTAATTGTTATTTTGGCAGGGGCAATTTTTTAATTATTTGGATTGATTATTTTTACTTTTTTGCTTATTTATTTTTTATTTTTATTTATTCGAATGATTATTTTAGTGGGAGCAGTTTGTTAATTTTGTTTATTTAATTAGATTAATTTATTTTACTTGTTTTGTCTTATTTATTTATTCTTTTTGTATATTTTTATTTATTCTTTTCGGTTTTCAATTTTTAAGTAACATAGTAAAATTTTTTTTGATTGTTTATATAGCAGTTATAGCTCTTTTTTCAACCAATTTTTTGGTTTGATTAGTGTGGTCTATTCTAACGGTTATTTTGACATGATTGGTTTGTTAATTTGTTTATTTACTTTATTTCATAAATTCACTTATTTTCATATTTATTTTATTTTTAATACTTTTTCATCTATTTTAACAGGAGTTGTTTGTTTATTTATTATTTGCTTGGGTTAATTTATTTTACTTGTTTTTTTTATTATTATTTTGTTTATTTATTCTTTACAGTTATTGATTTTTTTGTCATTCAAACCGTTTGATCATTTTTTGTCATTACTAAAACCATCCAATCAGTTTTTGTCATCATTGAAATCAACAAATCATTTTTCTAATCACTGAAACCAACCAATCATTTTTGTCATAACTGAAATCATCTAAAAATTTTTTTTCACTGGAATCATCTGATCATTTTTTGGCATCCCTAAAACCATCCAATCAGTTTTTATTATCACTGAAATCAACCAATCATTGAAATCATCCAATCATTTTTTGTAATCACTAAAAGCAACCAATCAGTTTTTATTATCACTGAAATCAACCAATCATTGAAATCATCCAATCATTTTTTGTAATCACTGAAAGCAACCAATCAATTTTTATTATCATTTAAATCAACCAATCATTGAAATCATCCAATCATTTTTTGTAATGACTGAAACCATCTAACAATTTTTTAACAGTGGAATCAGCTGATTACTTTTTTTGTCATCACTAAAATCATCCAATCATTTTTCTCATGATTGAAATCATCTAATCATTTTTTTGTCATCACTGAAACCTGTTTTTTTTTTCATTGAATATTTTCTCTATCATAATGCTGTGAATTAATTCTGCTTTAAAAACAAAACAGGTAAGATTTACAAAGGAAAACTTTAGAAAAGTTCTAGCAGAGTTTCCAAACATGTATGCCAAATGTTACAATATAAAAAATTTCTTCTTGAATATTTTAAATATTCCCTGGTTTCAGTAGGTTTATAATTTAAAAACACAAGCTAAGTATAATAAATAATACAAACTAAAATTGAAATCAATACTAAAATAAATTTACTAAAATATTTTGCCAAGTATTGAATTTAACTTGAAAATTTTGTTACTATTTTGTTGTGAAGTAAATAAGATGTTCCTGGTAACACAAATGAACTAGGTAAGGCACCTTAAGTAAAGAACTCAAAGTGATTCAGTAGAAGTCTGTTGGAGTCAGTTGGGGAGAAAGACTTAATGATGCCACAGCAATTAGCCTAAACCAGACATAATATTATAACCACTAGGAGTGAATCATATTATTTAAAGGAACTATAACACTTTTTTCTCTGTTGATTGATAATCATGGTATTAAATGCTTGGACACTGAGGATTTGAACTTTGAACAGTACCTTCCCATTGTATCAAACATTTCCACTTTGTGTAGCTCTTGCAAATCTTGAAATGTAAATAACAAAAATTTGAATATGAAGTGATCTAACTGTGAACTTTGCCTCTTGAAGAATTGGGTGAGCACTTTGCTTCAGAAAAGGGGGTTGACCTGATGAACAACAGCCTGTCAAGATGCAATGCAAGGGAGATTTCAAATTTGAACCAGGTTTACAAGATAAAGACTTCTGTGCCATTGCAATTCAACTTGTAATACCTACTCTGTCTTCCGAGGATTTGAATCAGGGAACAGAAGCCAGTACAGATAACATCCGTCAGACTCACTAGTGCATGAAGATATCAAAATACAGTGACTGCACATGTTCAGCTTAAAAAGAACTGTGTGCATATTAGTTTTCTGGTTGTGTTGCACTTTTCATAAGTGTTTCAGTGTCGTCTTGGGCAATATGAAAGAATACCGAAGCTGATGCTCAGCTACTAATAAGATTTGGTATATGAGTCAAAGAAAATCATACTTGATAAATGGTTTGGAAAATTTCTGTTTATATGTATGCCTTAACTGAAATTGCTATCTCGTTATCATTACAAGTCATATAAATTTCTTTGTCACAACAGGTTAACAATCACAAAAAAAGCATTTATAATATCAGATGATATTCTTAACTTTTACATACATGATTGATTAAATCCTGTTTTTATTTTTATTATACAAATTGGGTTTTAAACTCATCCCAGGCCTTAAGTGGAGCTCATATATATGATTCATCACCAAAGATGCTGGAAAAAGGGTTGACTCCCTGTACCATTCCAGTAATTACCTGACCCCTGCCTGCTATCTTCTACCATTACAAGAGCCAAATCAGGCCAAAAATAAAGTTCTTCTGCCATATACAGGCAGGAGCTGCCCAATCTTCACTTTCTGGTTTCAATATCAAAATCATATCCATGTCTTTGTGGGTCATAAATTATTTTCTGTCCTACAGCTTCTTTTTCAAATATGAAATTTCTTTTGCTTCTTTATTTCTATTTCCACGGAAAGTGTTCAGATGAATGGCATTATTTTGTTCCAGCAGTGCTAACCTTCGCGGCTAAGACCCGCTATGCCACACACATTGTAGTGAACCACTTTTATCCATTTTGTATTCAACTGATGAGATGCAAGTTCTACTCAAGAAGATTCTTCTCATGAACTGCTGCTTTGTGGAACTGACTCCCAAAAGAATGCTTCTCCAACCACAACAATCTTAACCTGTTCATATCTAGGGTAAATTGTTATCATCACTACATATCAGCATAAACGTGTGTCACTTAGTCTGTAACCCTCTACTTCGAGTGGCTCTTGGGTCTTGTACAGGACATCATTGGCTAAAAGGGAAACCAGGGTAACAGGTTAGGTATTATTTTAGGATTTAGTCACAGTTCAATAATTACAAGACAGGGTTCCCAGCCTAATCACTGAATAAAATTTCCTGATAACTTCCTGATCTTGGGACATTGCATGATAGACAGACAGAGATTGGTTTGTATTTAGTACTATGAATAGAATGGTCAAAGAAACACACACAAAAATATCTTGAAATATCAAAGAATAAATCTATTCAATAACATCGCCATTGGATTCAACCACAGCCATCAGATGACTTCAGAATATCCTGCAAATCTTCTGGATGCTCTCCTTGTTTAAGTTGGTGAATGCTGCCATAATCCTTGCCTTCAGTTTTGTTGGTCTCTCATTCAACAGTGCTCCACATAATCAATAGGGGTTGTAGTATGGGGAGTTAGGCAACCAGAGGTATGGAGTAATGTAATTGCAGAAATTTTCTGACAGCCATGACTGGATTCTCCTGCTTGTATGGCATGGTACAGAGTCCTGTTGCTAGACATAGGGTCTTCCAGAGCCCACCCTCTTGACCCAGGGCAGCACAAATTTTGGAGTTTTTCTCATCAGAGTTAGTTTCTGAACTACCATACCTTCATAATCAGCATTACTCACTCACTCTAAATCCTCTACACTCTCCTCAGATTGACACCCAAACACTCTGAAATGTTCATATTGGAGCTACCGGTATGAATGCCAAGCAGTACAGGATGCTGTTTCCAAATTTCTGGTAGAGTGAATTGTGTCATGGAGCAGTTTTTCTCATGGAAGTTGCCCAACTGACCATACTTGACTCTGCAGTCAGCAAAATCAAAAACAAACAACAAGCATGCACAAAATTAAAAATATGGTGATAATTTCCTCCTCACACCCTGTATATTATGGCAATATGTAGGATAAATCATAGTGACCCAAGACTTGAAGTGGTTAAGATTGTAAAAGAAGCTTCCACTTGGGAGTCTGTTCTACAAAGTACAAAGACTTTTGTGCCATTGCAATTCAAGCTGTCATGCCATTAGTATCTTATGAGGATTTGATAAAGAGCATGGAAACCAGAGTGAATAATGGATAATAGATTGCTTCATTTTTTTAAGGCTTATCAACCTTTTCTAGGTTATTTAAAGCCAGAAAATATTTTTAGATTGTAAGAATTCTTTTTGAGATAATGATTTTTAATAAATGTCCTACTAATTAATCCATAGATGAGGGGAAAAGAAGTGGATTCATAAGGGTATTTGCATGAATACCTTATATTAACCTTATGAATATATAGTGAATATAACAAACCTGCATTGAATTAGAACTTGGCTCTCTGATTTTCAATATCCATTACACCACCTGCACACCCCAGGTCATAGAAGTTAGCCATTAGCCAATGAGAGTTTACCGATGTTTGTTTATCACTCCTGTGCTCTAAGATGGAGCTATGTTCTCCTCGTTTTTGCTCAGCCCTGGGGATTCCGACCCTGCAGCAGCACCTTCTTCATTGCACTAAAGAGGTTAGATTGGTGTAATACTGAAACCAGCAAGACAGTGGTCATGGGGACTGGGCAAAAAACAATTTTTGTTCCTGGCCACTTATGCATAAGTATGTGTATGATGCTCCCTATGTTAAAACAAACTTGTGTCACATCCAGCCTTGGTGGAGAGGATGGGTAAATATACCTGGTATTCCCAAGCAGTCACCCATCTATGTACTGACCAGGCTTAATGTTGCTTAACTTCGGTGATCGTATGAAAAGCAGTGTTTTGATGTGATATGGCTGTAAGCCTTGTAGATATCATATAGAATTTATTGCACATGCTCAATTTAAAAAGAATTGTGTCAACTAATTAAATAAAATTTCAGTTTTTTCAGAAGGTAATAGAATTAATAAAATTGGATTCATTAATAGATCCGTAACCAAGGCAAGATTTTGAACTCAGTCTTAAAGTTATAACCAGCAACACTATGGTTTGCTTTTATTACATACGAGGATGTTTTTGAGTACACTTTTCATCCTAATCACAGGAAGATAAGAGTTTATCTGATATATTGCACATTTATTATGGAATTTACTTTTTCTCCAGCAATTTCAGGAGGATGAGAGTTAACGTAAGTTGAAAGTTCTCATTTAGCACTTGAAGAAATTCTTAGACAATTTCACGTAGAACTGTTGAAATTTTCTTTTTATGTAAATTCTAACTTTTTGTTGCTTCAAACTCAGAATCTTTTCAATTACAGATATTCTCAATCATCTTTTTGAATATTCATAAGTGTAAATACTGTAATATCATAACAATTTTTTTATATAAAAGCTGCTATTAAAATTGCTAATTTTGAACAATCAATATTAGGTTTGAGATTTTAGGAATAAATTTTTGAGAAAAGGAAGTAAATAAAAACACTAATTAATAAGTGTGGGTTATAAATTCTGTAATATTTTGATTTAAATGAATATTTTTGCCTCTTCTATGATTGAAACAAATTCACCGATGTTCAAAAGAACGTTTGAAAACATTTGATTCGAAACCATTTAAAATAATAAAGAATCCTTCTTTAATTTTTAATCCTTTTCAATTCCAAGTACTTAAAAAAAAATAAGAAAAAAATTACTCTTTGATGTCTAATACAAGGGGAGATCCAAATAATAGGGCAGTAGATCTTTCTAAATTTGCAAAAATGTGGTGGAGCCTGCAAAATCATTTAAAGGGCGAAAATTGTGAAATTGATGAACATTTAGTTTAAACAAGATGGTATAGTGTGGAGAGGATGAAAATTTCCTCCTAAAAATAAACTCCCCCCCTCTACACACACAACTATGCAGCATTTAACAGTACTTTTTGTTGTTTGGATACAAAAGAATATTTATATATAAATTATTTACATACAGACTATAGTCCTTTGTTGTTGTTATCACAATGTTCCAGCCATTGTGCCCACAAGGTCCTTGTCAATCCAGATAAAAGAAGCAGCTTGTTTACAGCAGCTTAACCATGCAGTTGCTTTTTTTAGCCTGGGCCAAGGATCCCAGGATGATGCTAAATATGTCTCTTCCAGCAAATGCTATGGCTTACAAGTCCATGTTATCATTTCCTTTTCAGGGAATTTTGAACTGGCCCAACTACAGGTGTAGATTGTTCTCATTCCACTAATTCTATATATATATATATCTTGTCTAGTTCTTATTTTTTGTAGTGCACATTATTGCTTGCCTTGTTTCCACTAAGTCCAAGTGGGAATTGAACTCACAATCACTATGGCTCCAAATTCGCAAACTAACACTTTAATCTACTAGGCTATCGTCCTGTAGGACAATTCTCTGTGGAGAACTTGGAGCCTTAAACCTAAACTGGTGAGTAATGACTCAGCAGCACTAAAACAAATAAGAACTAGAAAAGAAATCCCCAGACAGGAGCAGTGAAATGAGAACAATCTAATCTCATAGATTAAATAACAGATTCAGTTCAGAATTCCCTGTAAGTTACCCAGATCAACATACACCTTATAAAGGCACGAGAGTCAAAATACTGTGATAACAACAACAAAGATATGGAGAATAGTCTGCATTTAAATACTGCAAATAAAGATAACTCATCTCAGAAATTCAGACATATATAAAAGATCTTGCAAATTAAGTAACAGAAGAATTGTATTAAGAATTCAGATTTTTAAAAAATTAAATCAAATATCCATATAGTAACATCATCACACTTGAACTTAGGGAGAATGGCCTGCATGCTAAACCCTGTGAGATGCCTTTGAGATATCTAAAGCCATAGCTTGAGCCTCACCATTCTTATATAAAGCCTGACAAATTCAATGACATCAGTTAACACATTGGCAGTTGACCTAAAGAAATGGAAGCCATATTGTTTATCTGAAAGAAGGTCATGTGAAGTGTGATGGCTTAACCATTTCAGAGTCAATTAGTACCTGTAGTACTTTGCCAAAAAGAGCTAAAAGCAAAATATTGTGTTTATACATAAAGGATGTAGAACAGTGTAACAAACTTCTTCTAGATTTTGTCTCCGATACATCTTTAGATATGGTAATTCATCTTCTTTGGAATTATCCTTTTAATTAATTTGTTTTTGCCACCAACCAAAATCTTATTATTATTCCAGGGTTCAGATTCATAGATTCTTGAAACTTTCAGTTTCTGAAATATTTATTTATATTGTCAAAAAGAGATAACATATTTGCAGTCATATAAAAATGCATTTTTTTTATTTTTAAATGAACCAAAAACTGCCCTGTGCCTAATACAGCCATATTACAGATGGGAGATGACTGTGTGCCTTACTCGTAGGCATCAGATCAGCCTGCATAAAAAATTTTACTAGTACTTTTTTTTAGGTTTTTTGCTGCTTGCTGTATATGGTAATCTATACTATTTGCTGAAATATCAGTGTTTGTTATAAAGCATTCAGTTTTTTCCCTGTTGCTTCTTGTATGCTACTGGTAATATTCAGTGAAATAATTTGCTTTGTCTGCATGTACTCTAATTATCTACAAGAATTCATTCATATTTATTGTACTTTACTGATTGCTTTGTCTGCATGTAATCTAATTTCCATAAGAAATCATTCATATTTATTGTACTTATAACAGGAGAGAGCTATAGTAGAATGGATTATTCTTCCATTTGTATTTCCCCCATTATGGGCATTATTATATCCATGATATAATAACATCGTATTTCAAGGAAGAATGGAATGGCTGAAAGGAAAAGAAATGACAAATATGATTTGTTCTCAGTGAGACTTTTATACCACTAAGACATCCATAAAACTATATATATATTATATATACATGTGTCCCATGTGGAAAACAATATATCATATATATCTATACAGCAAAACAGAGTGTAAGGGGAAACAAAAAGGAAGTGCCTTACATATAATATGGAGATACTCCTGTGTCTGGAGAAGCCATGTTTAGGACTCCAGATTCAAATGGACTGGGTTCATCTACTATGTCCCAGGTGAAGTCATATTTCCTGAAGAGAAAATGGTGAGTCTTGGGTTTTCCCAAACTGAGGATTATAAGCTAGAGTTCTTTCTATATCTTGGAAAGATATATTCCCAAAAGGAAATGATAATATGGACTTGTAAAATATAGCATTTGCTGGAGGAGATGGATTTAGCATCAACCTTGGCTCCTTGGCCCAGGCTAAAAAAAGCAACTGCATAGTTAAGCTGCTGTAAACAAACTGTAATTGACTGCTTCTTTTTTCACTGTATAGAGTGACATCATTAAGTTGCCATCACATGACCCGTGTGACTTATCTCCACCAAAAGGAGGTAATCACTGTCTATATCTATACATACTTTACTGACTTCTTTGTCTGCATGTACTTTAATTATCTATGAGAATCCATTCACCTTTGTTGTATTTAATTGATTACTTTTTCTGCATGTACTCTAATTATCTATAAGAATTCATTTACATTTATTGTACTTTACTGATTGCTTTATATCAATTTGCTTTGTTGATATATATGAGTACTCATGGATAGAAATGTAACAGTATTTCTTTTCTGCTTTGGCAAATTTAATTTAGTTTCCTTTGAAGGCTAAAAATATAATATGATTTCTTTGAAGGCTAAAGATACAATATGATTTCTTTGAAGGCTAAAAATATAATATGATTTCTTTGAAGGCTAAAGATACAATATGATTTCTTTGAAGGCTAAAAATATAATATGATTTCTTTGAAGGCTAAAAATATAATATGATTTCTTTGAAGGCTAAAGATACAATATGATTTCTTTGAAGGCTAAAAATATAATATGATTTCTTTATTTCTTTGATAAAGATATAATATGATTTCTTTGAAGGCTAAAAATATAATATGATTTCTTTGAAGGCTAAATATATAATATGATTTCTTTGAAGGCTAAAGATATAATATGATTTCTTTGAAGGCTAAAGATATATGATTTCTTTGAAGGCTAAAAATATAATATGTTTTCTTTGAAGGCTAAAGATACAATATGGCAACAATTTCCTCCTCACACCCTGTATATTATGGCAATAAGTAGGCTAGATCAGAGTGACCCGAGACTTGAAATGATAAAGATTGTACTTAAAGAAGCTTCCACTCGGGAGTCTGTTCTACAAAGTAAAAAGATTTCTGTGCCATTGCAATTCAAGCTGTCATGCCATTAGTATCTTATGAGGATTTGATAAAGAGCATGGAAGTCAGAGTGAATAACAGATAATAGATTGCTTCATTTTTTTATGGCTTATCAACCTTTTCTAGGTTATTTAAAGCCAGAAAATATTTCTAGATTGTAAGAATTATTTTTGAGATAATGATTTATTAATAGAAGTCCTACTAATTAATCCATAGCTGAGGGGAGAAGAAGTGGATTTGTAAGGGTATTTGCATACAGGATTTCCTACTTTATTCCAGTAGGCTATTACAATATTCTATTTGCAGGCACAAAATCATACATTGTTGGGTGTATGTGAAAGTGCATGATATACGAAGGTTATATATGGTTGATGAAATTTCTTAGGAACATAATGAACAAAAAGGGATTACAAAACTTTTACACTCACATAACATATTAATATTTTGGCTAAGATGACTTAATAATTTTTTTAAAATATTAAATGGCATGGACTACATCTCTAGTTTACTGAATGTCTTTTACCAGCTATGTTAATAGTTATTCAATAGAACCAGAAGAAAAGAAAGTGTGGATGGGTACTCACTCTGTACAAGGCCAGGTTGTGTCCAAAAGGGTCCACTAAGAGGAAATAATCCACCAAGATAGATTTTCTTTCGAGTTGAAATATTTTTGGGAAACCATTGTTTCCAAATGTTTTCATGTTCCTTTACCCAGCTGCAAGCCACTTTACTAGCACGAATACTGGGTCGTAAACTTTTAGCGTTACTGTAAAACTGTAGCAAATCTGCATATTCATCTTGGGTGAAAGACATGCGAGACACAGCTTCATAAGCCTGCGGGGCAACAGTTGCCAGGGCTGGAGATGTCATCTTTGTCAGCTGGTTCAGCTTGAAGTTGCAGTAGACAGGGTCCGGATCATAGGGGCATGAAGGGAATTTGATCTGAGTGAAGTTGTGGTTCAGAGTCAGGGGGCTTGGCCACCAGTCATAAAAAAGGACAGGTAGTCCTCGCTGTGCACGCTGTCGGACAAAATCTGTCAAGTAATGTCCAATCCATGCCACAATGACAGGCAGGTTAAGGCTGTTGATCTGAGACTGGACAAGATGATAATTCATTTCTGTAGAAATCAAAGACAAGAAAAACAAATGTAAGAAATTAAAATCCGTCATTAAAGGAAAACAAAAATGATTGGAGTGAGGCAAGATAAATTTTTTTCCAAGCAATGCCTCATAAGAAACACTTAAAAATTTTAAAATATTAAAATAATCAATTACATAATATGATGTATTCTTCTTTTCTTTATGTACTATGTTCCCTCAGAAAATGGGCGATCATGGCTCTTCACAACTTCCTATCCCTTGTAGCTATTAAACTTTGTCTTTCTGTTATTTCTTCTGTTCTGCCATCCATTTACTCAAGCTCTATAAGTAGATTATGCATGGTCTTTCTCTGTCCTACTTGCCATCTATCTGTCCCAAGAGTATCAGATTCTTCAAGCCCTTCTTTTTCATTATATGCCCCAGAAATATCAACTGTTCCTTTCTGATGTTAAGCATTAGTTTACTTTTTTTATCCATTTTCTCCAAAACTTTGTTGTTGCTTACATGTTCAGTCTTTCTGTAGAACTACATTACTGTTCCTTCAAGTCTCCTCTTCATCTTTGAGGAGATCATCTAGCACTCACTGCCATACAGGTGGACAGATATCACATAGCAGTTTAGTAATCATTTCCTTGTTTCTAGCAAAAACTTTTCTATTTCTTTAGTACTTTGCTTAGCTTTTGGAATGCTTCCTTGGCTATACCAAGATATGCCTTCTGATTTCAGTGTCACACTTTCCATTCTCTATTAAAACACTTCCCAGATATTTCCAGTAAAAAAAAATTATTATATATAAAAAAAATAAACCCATATGTGCAGTAACCCATAAAGGTTATAGCAACACCACATAGTGCAGTTATAACAACATGGTGTATCTAGGCAAGATAGCCTGAAGAAGCTATTTTTTGTCAAGCTGTTTTTGAATTCAGAGTTTTTCTTCTCCTAGTCAGATTGCCACCTTGAAGCGAGAAAGTCTAGTCAGCCTTGATATTTAACCCAATGTGAGGAGAAGAGATGGATTCATACAATCCCCAAGGATATTTGCATGAAAAATTGTTGTAAATGAAAACTTTTATAAATTTAAATTGAAAGTAGTATAAGCTGCTTGGTAAATGAATGCCAAATGTTTCCTTATAAGGAAACACCTGATATTACCATTAACACAAAACTTATCTCTTAATTATTTACATATACCAGACAGTAAAATTCATTAGGATATGAGACTTAATTTCTCTTTCAATCTTTATTAGTAAGATTCATACTTTATTTGTGATACATCCCACATGTCATCATTAATACTGACAAGAATGAAAATATTCTTTTAATCAAGGCTACTTGCAGGTAATGAAATTATTCCAAGATTTCATGGATATAAAGGCATAATTAGCAGAAGCTTAAATCTTTCTTTGATGAGAAATTGCTTCAATTTTTGAAAGTAAAAGGAAATGATTTTATTAACGTAAAACTTCTTTATCTATTTTTTTTAATCATTTCACCCCAAGCAAGGCAATAAGGCATGCAAGATATTATTGAGTGTTAAAGTATGTGAGAAAAAATACCATTAAGGAGAGAGAACAATAAAAGAACAGGAATTAGGAAAACAGGAGTTAACAATTGTCTATTATTTACATTATTCAGACTATTATTCTCATCTTTGTTGCCATATTCATTACAACATTTCGGCCGTTGTTTGCTCGGGTTTTCAGGTTGGAATGTCGAACTGGTAACTCTTTATTACTTTATTGCAGATTGTTCCATTACGGCATGACAATGGATGTCAGTTATCAGTTATCTCCGTTAATTTCTTCCAAGATTTCATTGCTTAATTGGGGTATTGAACTCACACTTTTGTTTGTCTTACTGGATCTAACTAACAACCTTTTCATTCCATGACACATGGCACAGTGGATAAGGCGTTGTTAGATCCAGTGAGAGGATCCAATGAGGTGAGTTCAATAATCCGGTTAAGGTAGTAGAGAATTTTCAGAGGGGAATTAACGGAGATAAACTTTGATAACTGACATCCATTAAACACCACGTGGAACTAGAAAAGTTCACCCCAGTGAGCTAAATAAAGGGTTCAGTTCGACATTCCAACCACCTGAAGAAAGCCAGAGTGTACAGCGGACGAAACGTTGTAATAAATATGGCGACTAAGATGAGGACAATAGTCCAAATAATGTAAATAGTGTACATAATACCTCATCTCAGAAATATAGACAGATACTTAACAATTGTCATTGCATTTAAATTTTTGAAGATCAAAGCAGGAAGAGTGTACACTGTGGTAGAAGAAACAGTTAGCATACAACTTATAGTTACTTCTGGCCATTTCAACTGTAAAATGATGAGACAATCAATCTAGTACTGTGCTTGAATTAAGAAAGGTACCATAGAGGTAAGCACATCAGAAGTATTTCTATGAAAGTATTTGTTGCTTAATTAAGTTTCTTTATATTTTATGTCCCCTTGAGGACAATGATATAAACATACTCTTTAAGACCCTGAGTTCAAAATACAAGACTCATTTTCTCTAATGAAATCTATTATGGCCTTCTATTTGGTTTCGTTTGTCCCTAATATAACTTGTAAAATCTATCAGGCAGATAATATATATCTGGAATAATTGGCCATGGTTAGGGGTAATTGACAAAATTCTCAACAAAGGAGATAGGCAAAGTTCTGAATGAACAATAAAAAAAGAAATCCTCTGTGTCCTTGTGGTATTATCACCTTGCTTGAGGGGAAATGATTTAAAAAAAAGAATAGAGCAAAATAATACTAAGCAAACAATATATATATATATATATATATATATATATATATATATATATATATTGTTTATATATATATATATTGTTTATATACATATATATATATTGTTCATATATATATATATATATATATATATTGTTTATATATATATATATTTTTTATATATATATATATATATATATCTTGTTATATATATATATATATATATATATATATATATATACAAATTAAAATTTGTCAAAGCAACAGTAATAAGGCAAAAAAGTTCAAAAGTAATATGTTCACTGGAAAAGAAGTAATTGTAGTGTTCTAATTTCAAGTCAAGAAATAATAAAAATATGGGGAATGTGACTGAGGAGTTGTTCATTTTTCTTTTTGGTTAGAAAGAAATCCTAGCATGTCTCTGTAGAATCTGTCTATAAATTTGGGGAGGGAGATGTTCTTAGCAGTTATTCCAATAAAATGGAGCCAACAGTATTTAAATGCCGATGAAGTTTCAAAGAAAATGAAAACTAAAAGGACACGTATATTTAAAATTGAAAATTTAAATTTCAGGCACACATTATGAAAAAAAGAAGGTTTCGAAAATTTAACACATCATGAAGGAAGGAGAAACAGAGAAACAGGAAGTAACCTACCTAATGAGTTTGGGCGAATCAAGAGCAGAACAGAAACAAAGACACAATGGGCAGAAGCTCAAATTTTTCATTAATTAGAAATAGTTTCAATTTTGAAAGTCAAAAAATACTACTATTGGTATGCAACTTTTGTTTCCATCACTAGTTTCTTATTTTTTTGTGTGTGTGCATGAACATAATTTTTCATTTCTTGACGACAAAATACTAAAAAACACAAAAATTGCTGGGTGGCTTGCTTTCAAAAAGCATCCACGCAAAAAAAAAAAAAAAATTATTAAAAGTGTTTGTTTTGTCATCTTTGTTTGTCACGTTGCTTTTCATTGAGAAAATTTAGGCTCCAAAGTAAATGAAATGCCACTTAAACTAAATTAAAACTTGAAATTTATCCAAAGTTGAAGACTAAGATTTTTTCTAAGTACAAAGTGTAAGAATTTGCGATTCAGATAAAATTTCAGTTGTTTTAACATTAAGAATTGTCAAAAAACACCACTGCATTAATTGTTTTAATAGAAAATCTGAATTTCTATAGTAGAAATCTCACAATACAAGGCTCGAGAGCCTTTCGTTGTAGATTGGCAGTTATTTTACAGTTGAAATGGTTAGATATAATCAAAAATTCCATGCCAAAAGTTTCTTCTTTTGCACTTCTCACATGTGGAACTCACTTCCAGCTTTCTAGTCAAGGTTGAGCTTCAAAAATTTAAATGTAATGTCAATCATTATCTTTTGTCTCCTAAATTCCTGTCCTTTCATTGTTCTCTCTCTTTGATGTTTTTTCTTTTATTCTTTCACAATCAGTAACACCATGTGCCTTCAGTAACACCATGTGCCTTCAGTAACACCATGTGCCTTAGTGACTTTATTGCCTTGCTTGATTAGGGTGAAATTATTAAAAAAAAAAAAAGAGGAAAAAGGATAATGTACCAGTGAATCATGAAAAGATTCTTAACAAAATGGGAACAAGGTGGGAAGTTAAAAATGAGAGAGAGTTGATCTTTCCAGGAACAAATTACAATGAAAGAGGGCTTGGAAAATATGACACTCAGAGGACATAATAAAAGAAGAAGCAGAGAGAAACAACAAGAAATCTACCTCATGAATTTGGATGAATGAATGTCAGAGCAGGAACAAGGAATGATGGTAAAGAGTCAAATGTTGCTTTGGGCTAGAAAGGAACAGGAAGTTGGGGAGAGCCATGATCGCTCATGAGTTTGTGTGAATGAAATGCAGAGCAGGTATAAGGAGAGATGTTAAAAATTCCAATATTTGTTTAGAGTTACAAGGGGCAGGATTGTGCGTTAATAGATATCAGAGAGGGAACAAGGAATGATGGTAATGTTGCTTTGGGCTAAAAAGGAGCAGGAGGTTGTGGAGAGCCATGATCGCGCATGAGTTTCTGTGAACAAAATGCACAGCAGGTATAACGGGAGATGGTAAAAATTCTAATATTTTCTTAGAGTTACAAGGGGCAGGATTATGTGTGAATGGATATCAGAGCAGGAACAAGGAATGATGGTAATGAGTCAAATGTTGCTTTGGGTTAAAAAGGGACAGGAAGTTGGGGAGAGCCATGATCTCTCATGAGTTTGTGTGAATAAAATGCA